TTATACATTTATGTATTTTTATTGGAGGAGTGGCCAGAAGCCCAATCATGGTCCAAGGAAAGAGTTTATATTAAAGGGAAAGGATTGTCTTGTGGTTAAAGGCACTGGACTGTGACCCAGGAAATTTGGGTAGATTCCTCCATTTCTACCACAGATTTTCTGTTTGACTGAGCAGCCACTTAGACCTAGATCCTCAAAAATAATTGAGCACCGAACTTCCCTAGCATCTAGCCCAGTGGGACCCATATATTGATTGAGGTCTTTCAGCACTCCTGTAATGTAAATAATAAATGGTCAGTTAGCAAGTAAGCAGGACATTGTCCAGATTATACATGGCGCTTGTTAGCCCTGGCAATATCTGGTCTATGAAGTGCTGAAAAAAACACTGGTGCACCTAGATATACAATAGGGTAACCTGTTATATTGGATTTAGAGTAGCAGCCGTGTTAGTCTGTATTCGCAAAAAGAAAAGGAGTACTTGTGGCACCTTAGAGACCTTGTTAGTCTCTAAGGTGCCACAAGTACTCTTTTTCTTGTTATATTGGAATAACCCTTTTATTGTGTTAATGACAAAGTACTAGCTTAGTTTCACTATCCAGTGCCACCTGCTGGTAAACATGAGTCTAATCTTAATCTTGGCGAATTTCTTTCCTATATGCTATATGCAGTGTTGTAGCCGTGTTGGTCCCTGGATATTTGAGAGACAAGATGGGTGTGGTAGTATCTTTTATTGGACCAACTTCTGTTGGTGAGAGAGACATGCTTTTGCACTTGGCCAGAGCTCTTTCTCAAGCTCAAAAGCGTGTCTCTCTTACCAACAGAAGTTGGTCCAATAAAAGATATTACCTCACTCACCTTATCTCCTGCTAACATCTAAAAACAAGTCCTGAGCTACAGGAATAGGGTGAAGATCTACGTATCAGTAGTGATCCATTGCCATTTGATAACAGCTGCATATTTACACTCAGCCCTCTGCTTTGGAAACGCATCGAATAGGTGTGATCCACTCATTAGGATGAACAGGGATTAACAATTAATGTTTGAGCTCTTTGAGTCATTGATTCACAGCATCCCACAGTGTGTCAGGCACTGGTCTAACTTTCCAAAGTTTTAGAATCGTTTCCTCAGTCTACATCTATAGTTTAGTCTCAGTCCCTTTTGTAACATGCCCATCTTGATTTGAACTCGGAGCTATGTTTAATACATAATTCCTACACTGGATCACCTGACCCAGATAACTCTTGATCAGTCAGAATTTAGCACCTCAGTCCTACAGCTGTTCGGATGAGCAGGACCTTTTCAACCGGGACCAACAGTTAAATTTACTGTCACAGTTACTCTGCTCACCACTGCTGTTCTCCCACTGTCCGTCTCCAAAAAATATCCCCAAAATCACTGCACCGCAAACTGATGCCTCAAGGGCGTATTGGTTATTATATTCCTTTGTCTGGTGCTGCATTTGAAAACCTAGTGTTGATGAAGACACTGCTAGCTTCCCCACTGTCATTTTCTCACGTGCTCTCTCCATATGTCCTAGCTGTGAAAGTGGACCAGCACTGAAATGTCTTAAATCTCTCTGTCTCTTTGATGATGGTGCAGGAAAAAAGTGATCTGCTTTATATACTGTTTTCAGTGGGTGATTTTTCTGGGGCTTTGTGTGGGATGACTTTGTAGATGGAATCTGCAAATGTAAGCCAATGAGGACAGCCTGAATGGCTGTGGACGTTTGTTCCTTTCCATGCTGAGTGCAGTACTTTCTAAAATAATCATAATGGGTGGAATTTGACTAAATGTAGAGAATCTAGACAAGACCAACACACCACTTAAGCTCTTAATGGGGACATACGGCGTTTAGAAGGTCGTGTGCAGCTTTTCCGTACTTGGCTGAATTTCACCCAATGTCCTTGCGTAAGATATGTCAACTCCACATGCTGCATTTAGTAATTTGCTTCACGGGATGTTGCTAATGAGTCCATGTTCAAAATGATCTCTCAGCTGTTCAAATGTATCTCCAGAGTCATACAATGTAGAGTTAGAGTATTTTAAATTTGCTGTAACTTCAGATGCTGTTTCAGTGTCATTTATGGTTTAGGAAATGATCTTTCAGCCAAGACATGTTTGCTATGGGAATAAAAATCTAATCATTTAATGAACTCGTTACATTCAGTGTCACCTAATATTGTGTTGCCATGAGGTCCTTCGGGAGAGGAAATGACTTTGAGCCAACTTCTGATATAAACATAGTACTTTTTCCCTCTTGGCTATAAATCATTTGCTTAGCAAAGCTCAATGCTCCTTACAGGGGCTACAGCTGGTGTAACTTCTTCAGAGCACAAGTCAGACTCTGCTGAAAGAGGCCTGTTTCTTTACTTTTTTCTTCTCTTTTTCTTCCTCTCTTCTTTAAAATACTATCAACCCTGTCCTTTGTGCTGCTGTTCTTTCCATGCACAGTGAATAACTACCACTGTGAACCTGTGAATCAGAGTGAACTAAACTCTATATTTTTACACATACAGATACTTATGAACCAGGTTTCTTTTTACCAGCTGTACCTTTCAGTCTAAGTGTCTTTTATTTTAGATTGAAGAAAACAACACACTAAGAAGGAACAAACATAAAGTCTCCATGAAACAGAAAGTGGAATGTGTTTCTTGATCTGTCTCCTTCTACAGTCTGCTCCTTAGCTAGCAGGCAGTCAAGCAGAGTTCTTTTATGTGTTTGTACAGTGCCCAGCACACAGGTCCTGGTCCATGTCTGAGGCCCCTAGGCACTGTGGTTATACAAATAATAATATTAAAAATGTAGTATGCAAAAAGAAGAGCCATAGCTAAGGATACGGCTGTGCTACACTGTTGTGGTTGAAGCAATAATAAAAGTCTGGAGGTGAATTGGGCTTTGTCTGCACTAGGGGTTTTAGCCATCCGTGTAGCTGCACTAGTGCAAACCCCTAGTGTAAGCAGGCAAAGCCAATGTAAGTCACAGTTTGCATCAGTGAAGTTTACCCCTGCTTGAAACGGGGTAAACTGCACAGGTGCAAGTCATGGCTCATAGCAACCTCCCTTTTCTACACCAAAAATATGTGCTGGAGGAGCTACATCAGTAGCCAGCCGCTGATGACTGCCACTGGGCCAAATCCCCAACGTGGACAAGACATTAGAGAGATAAATAGATGTTTTGTTTAGAAACTCAGTTCAATGGCAGGAACAGGCGAGGAACCTAGAGCATTCTCAAAGTGGAGACTGGTTTTTCCAGAAATCCACTCCCACGAGGGTATTAATTATACAGGCATCACTACATCCAAATAATGCTTGTTGGCTGAGCAGTGGCCTGGGGGCAGGAGACTCTTATGTAGCAAGTTCTGAGAGCTGATTAACCCTTTAGGGGGTGGCACCTACTCCACAGTCATGATGTTGTGCCAGTGCATTGGCTTTGGAGAAGGGCTGTAAGATAGAACCTTAGGCATGTGTTTACTGGGAACATTCTGTGCCCCGCCAATCAGTTGTTTCAACCCACTGTGAAATCCAAGGTCTCTTCACCCTCCTAGGGGGTTCCTGTGATCTCTCTCCTCTTCGTCTGGGGGGGGTCTAGCTTAATTAATGGTGCAACATGTGCAGGTGCTGCTGTTACGGACCGCAAAGGAGATGTTCCTTATGGGTCCCAAATGGACTGGATGAAGTCCCCAGCAAGAAGGGAGAATAGTATCCCCAAAGAACAAGTCTTTTACAGGAGACCCCTGCTATAGTTTGTAGCCATGCAAAACCCCACAGCCTCAATCTCTCAACTTACAGGAGAGGAGAGAGCAAACTAGAAAGAGAGAGCAAGAGAATGTGCACATGTTCCCTGGCGCCTGATCTCTGGTACTGTAACCCCTCTGCACCCATCTGGCTGTGTCTCTTTGTAACCCTGATTCTGTCCCTCACCCCTGACTTCTCTTAATCGGCTCATTAAAGGCTGTTGAGACTGAAACAACAGATCCACCCAATACCCTCTGTGCTTGCTCTTGCTCCTCTTCTCTTGGGAGTAAATGAAACAATATCCTCTGGCCTATATACAAACTGCTGGTGTTTCTCTCAGTAGTTTCCACCAGTGGATTTCTCCACCTTTACCATTTCTACTGCCTGTCTTTCTAGCCATCTCTTATTACATTCTCTTTTTCCTACCTCTTGTCTCCCTGCCTCCCCCTCTCCCTCCTTCCCATGGACATTCCATGTGCTACAAACTCCCAGATATTATGCTGATGGCTCCTTATAGAAATGGGATAATGCTGCTGCTAACTCTTTCCCCTCCCTACCCCTTGTTTTCCCTCCTAATCCTGCTTGTATGTGGTACCTATATGTAGCAAGATTTGGAGAGAAAAATAGGAGCACACCTTTTAACTCCTTTAAAATCCCTCGGGCTAAAGAAGCTTTAGGGAGAGACAGTGGGAATATGATGGGTATCTTGCTCTAGGATAGGAACTGTTCCTCCTAACTAGGATGCTTGGCATGCATACAAGGTTTCCTCCAGCTGTTCTGTGTCTCTCTCTGCTCTCTTTGTTCTCCCTCTTCTTGCCTCCAGCACAGCTGTGTGCTCCTCTATAGGAGCAGTAATGTTGTTGTTTTTTTAATATTGCTGCCCTTCCCACGTCCTTTGGCTCTGGTGAGAGCAGCAGAGTGCCTGCCTGCCTGTACAAGCTATTCTTCATGACAGAGAGAGCCAAGGGCAACAGACACAGCAGCACCATGAGGGGGAGAGAGTCAGAAAGGGCGTGGAAGAATCAGAGGACGGTGAGAAAGGGGCAGAGTCTAGGGATGGGACTAAAGCCAGCTTCACATTACTAGCACTAAGCAATTTGAGTTTAGCAGTCTGCAAGCATTTCAGATTGCACACTCTGGCACTTCTGCCAAGGCCAGCTGCATTTCTCTGCTGCCTCTGCCCTTCCCGGGACAGGCTCATTTGTTATCTGATCCTGCAGAGGTACTGGGACGTTGGATCACTCTGCGGTGTCTTGTGCTCTGCAGGGGGATGGAGCCATGGCAGGAGATGCTGATGGAGAATCAGGACCTGTACCAAGAGAGACAGAAGGGAAAACCGCCAAGTGAGGCAGGAGCAGCCAGGATAGAGCTACTGCAAAAAGGTTCTTCCCTAAACCACGGAGTGGAACAGCCAGAACCCCCAGGAGAAGGAAGAAATGCCCAGGAGAAAGGTGAGAAACTGGGGCAAGGGGACACACCAAGTCAAGAGACTGCAGATCCAACACAACAGATGCAGATTGGCATCAGCAGAGCGGGTCCCCCCGAGCAGGAGGTGACTCCGAAAGGACAGGATCCAGGGCCCACCTTAAATCATCCAGTCCTGGATGGAGATGGAAACACCTCCAGAGGAGAAGAGATGCCAAGGGTCTTTCAAAGAGGTGCCAAGGAGGAAGTGGAGCCACCTGAGGAGGGGAGACGTGAGGAAGCCCTGATGGGGGAGCTCTCTGAGCTGGTGCAGCAGGTGGTGAAGAGAAGCAGCTGGTGGGAGAGACATGGCATAGATGACTGTATCATTGCCCTGAATTTCCTCATCCTTCCTGCAGGTAAAAGGGGGAAGGTTTGTGTCAACTAAGGGAAGGAAGGGAAGGGCCCCTGTGTCTCCTTATTGCTTTCTCATTACACATTAACAGGGAATTGTATTCCCTTTGTGTTAGTAGGCTTGATAGCTCAGCTGGTTATTAACCACTTAGATGTTGCAGCTAACAGGGTGAAAGGAACCTCCAAGTCCTGCTCCCGTGTCCCAGAGCCCTACTTCCCATACTGCCCCATGGGAACTGCCAAGGGGATGGTGTCCGAGATCTGCGTTATATGAACACAATTAGCTGTTGGTGACAATTGGGGTCAGCAGTGGGCACAGCTGAACCAGTGCTGAATGCAGTTAACTGCAAGTGTAGCGCCAGGCAAAAGGGGCCTCAGATACTGTGGTGATGGGTGCAGCATTAGAACCTGAACACAGTAGAGCTGAACTGTGTTCAGCATCGTTTCAGTACCTGTGCTCAGGCTTAAGGAGTTGATGCAGCTTGTAATTATTCCTGTGGATGCGAATTAAGTGTACAGGTGAGCTTCAGGTAAGTGGGATGCCGAGGCAGCAGCCTTTTCAGTGCCTCTGTCGCCTCTGGTTTAACTCTGTGAAGCAAAGATGTGCATTTGGGGAAACCTTCCTTGTTCAGCACTGCTGGGCTGCCATTCAATACTAGCTCTGTCTGTCCCAGCTGTCTGTCCAAGGAGCTCAGCCCTGCCATGGAAGCTTTGTTATTGTATTGATATGAGTGACTTCTTTTGGTTCTGATGATGAGTGTGATGTAGGAGAGATGTACTTTTAACAACAGGCTGAGCTGGTCTTGTGGCTTCTCTCAGGATGTGCAAGACTTGCCAATACAGTCCCTCGTTTGTCATCTGGCAGCCAGTGAGCATTAATTTCTGCTATGAATAAAGGGTACGAGAAGCAACCAGTTGCAAGCATAGGTGTCACACTGTCCTGTGGCTGGTGGTTCTCCATTCATCCTGGGACAGGTATTTCCAGGTTTGTCCCAGTTATATTGGAGAGTTTCTACACCCTACAGACAGTGTTCGCACTCCTTCCACAGGCCCCTAAATCAGTTTGGAAGCTAGTGAGGTGTCCTCTCCTGGAAGTGTTGCATCGGGATGGAATTACGAAGACAGCAGCCTGCGCTTAACTCTGCATCTAAAGAGCATAAGCCAAATGTATCCCCTTGAAGTCAATAACGTTACACCTCTAACCCACTCACTTCAGCTCAGAGTTGAGGGACTGGTAGGGTGCTGAAGCTGCTGCTCTCATTGTATCTGTCTCGTTGTATTGTACTACTGTACATCTGGAAGTCCTTACTCAGGCAAAATTCCCCTTTGGCCAAATTCTGGGAGGGGCTGAGCACCTGTAACACCCCTTGATGGCATTGGGAGTTTTAATTATGTATACTCGGCACCCTTCAGGATTTAGCTCAGCGGGTATTTTGCCTGAGGAACCGGTAAAAACAGGGTAAGTATTTGGCCCTGTAATGGAGGGCTTGCCACCCTTATTTAGGTAAACTCTCATTGATTTCTATGGGAATTTGCCAGAGTATGAACTAATTAAGACACTCGGGACTTACAGATCCTTGTAGAGTACCTCACTGTGCAATAGGGGAGCTGCTGTGCCAAGCAAATAACAGGTCCCTGCCCCAAAGAGCTTAGAGTCTCAGAATATAATCAGGTACAAACAAGGAGACATACAGTGCGATCGTAGCTAGAAAGTGCAAGAATTAGGTAGCTTCTCTGAAGTGTTTTGAATAAGAAACGAATGGGAGTTTGGTGTTGGCCAAAGCATCCTAAGCAGCGTGACAGAGGGCATTGAGGTAGGAGTGGGGAAAGAGAGATGAAGGGAACTCTCAGGAAGGAAGCTTCCTTGAGTGCAGTTGGGTAGAGCTGGAGATGCAGATTAAGATGTAGGGACAGATTTATGGAGTGCCTTAAAAGTGAGGACCAAAGCACTGACTTTAATGTGGAAGGAGAGGGGTCACCCACAAGGAGAAGAGGCAGGGACTTAGATACCTAGGTTTATGGCTGCTTAGCTGAGCTGAACCAGAACTCTGGAACATTTTGCCATCACTGTTTATTTGACCAACCTTGTGAGGACTTCCACTCACCGTCATGGCATTTCTCTGTTTGGACATTTGGATGCAATGCAATAACTTATGAATCCTGCATCCAATCAATTCCAGAATGTTAGGGAAAGTCCTATTGATTTTGGTGGAAATGCAAAAATTGGAAGGACTAAATGGGGGGACACCTGGAGTCCCTGGCATCTGGTTAGCAGAGCCAGCTGCTTCAACCACCTATAACAGTCTAATAGATCACAGAGCCAATTGATGGCAGCCATTAACAATACTCCTCAGTTTAGCTCTCCCACTCCTCCCAATACAGTTTAAAAGTGTTCACACCCTGAAAGAAAGAGAGAGAGAGAAAGGAAAACAAAAATGGTGGGAGGGAAGGGGAGAATGGACAGGCCTGGGAGGAAAGGGGGCACACACAGAACCCCTGATGGGGTGGGGAGAGAATGGGGGAGGGACCCTGGCATGGGGGAAATGGGGAGCAAACAGATCCTCTGGCATGGGGGGAATAGGGGAGTATAGGGTGGAATGAGGAAAAGGGGGCATGGAGGGAAAATGGGGAATTATTGTTTGTATTACTGTAGCACTTAGGAGCTCCAGTCATGGACCAGAGCCCCATTGTGCTAGGCATTGTGCAAATACAGAGCAAAAAGATGGTCCTTGCTCCAAGGAGTTCACAATCAAAATATAAGATAAGAGACAAGAGACAGCCGATGGATATAGACGGGGGGGGAAGGGTACAAGTGAACAATGAGAGTATTGGTCAGCATGATGGGCAGTGTTTCAGCACCAACAGCCTAACCGTTCTGGAGTTATTTGTAGGCATCATTGGATGCCTTGCCTGTGCCTAGTAAACCTTGCCCCTTAGAGTCCAATCATCATAGAGATCCAGTTCATTCTTGTTAGGGGTTTTTATCTCCCTCTTCCCTTCCGCTCTGAGCTGCAAGCTCAGCTGACAGGAAAAATCCACTTGCATGACTCCTGTTCATGAAGAGAGGGACAAAAAAACAAATGTCTTTTGTCCTCTTTATAGTCCCACAATAGTCAGTCTGATATCAATGGAGCTTTCCGGTTGGGCAGACGTAACACCTTCTGTTGGAAACCTGCACAACGCCTTCACAAGACGAGCCTGGGAGCTTAAATTCATAACTTTGCTAGACACTAAAAATCATGGAGTGAATAAAGACACTGGATTTATGGCTTATTACAACAATTATAACCCACTACTGCTCCATTTTCTCATGCTTTCATGACAGGAGAGGTATTAACTGGCCACTTCACCTTCAATGGTCCTTTGAAATATGTGTTCTCTCTGATCCTCACATCTAGGCTGTATCTAAATCTTGCTGATTCCTTTTGCAGGCCTACACTACAAACTTGCATCAGCCCAGCGGCACCGATGCAGCTGTGCCACTGTAGTGTGTCTGGTGAAGACGCTCTAAGCTTATGGGAGAGCTCTCTCCCGTTGACTTAATAACTCCACTTCTGCGAGAGGCAGTAGCTACGTTGGCGGGAGAAGATTTAGATGTAGCCTGGATGTGAGGATCAGAGAGAGGTTCAGGTTGAAGGTGATGCCCAGGTTATGAATCGCCGGCTGAGGGAGGCTAGCCCCCAGCCAGCCCCGTCCTCTCGCCTGAGGACCTGTCCCCTTCCCCCACCGGAGTCCCTCAGTGCCAGGTGAGTGGCGCCCCCCCAGGCACAGGACGGGTGGGCGGCACATGGGCCCCCCTACCCCCGAGCACAGGACGGGTGGGCGGCCCTAGCCACCCCAAGTCCCAGCCGCCCTAGCCCCAGCACGCTGCTTCCCTGAAAAGGACCAGCCTGCCTGGGCTTTGGGGAGGAGTGTAGGTGTGGCCACATCGGGCTGTTTGGGGAGGCGCAGCCTTCCCCAGCCTATGCGCCGCCCATGGTTATGGGCCTGGATGATGGTGTTGTCCACGGTGGTTGATAAAAGAAAGAGAGAGGAGGGCTTAGCAGTGGGGAGGGGGGAGTTAGGAATTGTGTTTTAGTCATGTTTATCTTGAGCTGATGACTAGACACCCACAAGATGCGCACGCAGTCTTTGTGGGGGTGGGGGCAGGGGAAGAATGGGGACCCAGGAGGGAGGCTGGGGGACACAGAGCCTATGGCATGAGGGGGGTGGGGAGTTGCTGGGAGTCCCTGAAATAGAGAGGGATGGGAGAGTAACACCCAGGGAGCTGGGGGGGGGGGGGAGACTGGAGGAGTGCAAGAATCCCCTGGTGTGTGCAGGGCACTCTGACTACATTAGAATTTGCCCTTAAACTTGGGGGGGAAAGCGAGTTGGATAGTCAGCACAAAGAAAGCCTTCATCATAACCCTTTTCATCTGACACTGACAGTCTAGGAGACTACATGAACACTTCCCTGTCCCATAGACTTTCATCTGTCAATCTAGCTAGGTGCTTTTATGGCCCTCATCCCCATTGTATCTGAACTGGGTACCTGGATTTCCACTTTACTTTGGTGAGAAGAAGGAAAATGGAGACTCCTTCAGAATGAGATCTCATTTGCCCAGGAGAGCTGTAGTTCTTATGGGGAAAGCAGTCCCCCATGGATCTTGCCTTGGCCATTATACTGGTCTGATCTTAACTATCTAGAAGGCTTAATAGCTCCAAGGTTTTTCTTTCTATCTCTAGGGTTCCTGTGTCTGCGTTCAGACAATGCCCTTCCCTTCCTGTTGGGCATCTTCATCTTGGGCATAGTACACCACACTATAACAGTGAAAGGAAGCCACTTGGCCAGCCACAATGCCTTGACGGAGTCCAAGTCTTGGGGGAAAGTTTGGGCCATATTCTTCCTCGAGGTATGTAACCAATGTGGGAGAATGCTCCTGTGTGTACATTTATATAGGAGGTACTCAGATTTCATGGTGCTGGGTGACTATAAAAACCAAGATAGCTAGGCAGAACAGTGCAAAGCTTACAGCTACACCTTGTCATGTTGCATGGGTGTGGGGTGGTTTGCATGGCATGTGTATGTGAATGTGGGTCCAGACCTGGGGATGGGGTAGATAATATGCATAGAAGCACATTTCCATTGAGCAGAGGCCATTCTGTCAGATAGCTTGATGGCAACTCATCACCAGATACATGAATCGAGAGTGACTGAGTTAAGAGAGTGTAACTGAAGTCAGGATTTGGCACATTAGCCCTAATCACCAGCTCAACAAGTTGCAGTGTATTAACTGCCAAGTTCCTCTCCAAAGAGGGGAGAGATTTCTTTCTGATTTTCAAAATGCCAAAGGAAATTAAGGCAATCCTCTTCAATTTTCTCCTGATAACCACCAGCCCCGCTGATCCATAACTTGTGAATAGATCAGCTCTTGGGATCAAATCTTCATTTCAAAAGCCAGTCCCTAATAGTATTGAACTAGTAGCACTTTCCGCTCAAGGGACAGATATATTCAGAGAGCAAAAGGAAGTGAGTTCTATCTCTGTTGGTGCTGCAAAATTGCAAATGGCCCTGATGTGCAATGTAGTGATAACCGGGAAGTATAAAGTGAACACAGATTTGTTATAATATCTTTTTGTCATATTAAGGCCATACATCAACTCTGAGACCATACTCGAAAATTGGAATTTCCAAAATGAAGAGAAATTAGCTTTCCAATCAGTTGGGGCACAGACATCAACTCCTAACTGTGGAAGAGTTTATACATTCAGAACAGCCAAAGGTATACATGATCACTAGATGCATCACTTAATGGAGCTGGGCCTGAGGCTCAATTCTGCCTCTCACTCTCAATTTACCCTCAAGCTGGGGGTTGTTTGATTCTGGGTTTTGGCTAAAGCCTGTCTCTGATAATCAGTAAACTTGAATAACTCTTTGTGTAACTGGAATGTTCTTATCATAGAAATGACCTTAGAGATTAGTACTGTCCTCAGCTGTAAAGTACATATCTTTGTGTAACTCCAGAAATTATCTACCATGCTTGTATCATGCAGCTTCAACAGCATTTTAAGGCATATGTGGTGCAGACAACAGATGTATTTCTCGGGTGTAGTTATATCATATTAGTCCTCTTATCCTAGTGCATGACAATAACAAGGCTTTGAGTGTGAACCTCTGTGGTGGGGTCATCCCAGTGAGACAATGCTGTGTACCTGCCATGTTCTGATCCTTGCATGCACGCTGTTCTGCATTTACTTCTCTTTTCTTTCTCTTCCAGGTTTGCTCAGCTTTCACAGCAGAGCAGGCATACTACAACCATGTGAAACTCCACCACGGTTACACTAATGTTATCAGACTAGGCGATTCCAGTACTTGGAAGATTCCTTTCTTGAACCGATATGTCTACATGTTCATTGCACCCATTGCTATACCTGTTTTAACCCCGCTAGTGGCACTTGGTATGTAGCTTTCCTCTGAGATATTTTTCTTCTATAGGTATTGTTTAAAACCTAAAGGTTTTTTTAAACTAAAAATTAAACTAATTCGTAAGGGCCCCAAAAGATAAATACAATTAGCAGTATTATGGAAGCCCCAGTCAGGTTAAAGGCCTGATGGTACTAGGAGCTGTACCAATGCAGTCTCTTGCCTGAACATCTTACAATCTAAGTTAGGATGAGACAGGACAAGTGCGTATAACAGACAGTAGGAAGGAGCAGAAGAAGTCCTTTGGGCTATCTGCTCAAAACTAAGGCGTTCGCCACAACCATCTGCAGGGCTTCTTGATTCTTAAACTGGCACAATAGGGACCCTTTTGAGAAGCAGATTGTACATTCAGAATGGAATGCACTCACAAAAACTCAATATTTAAATATATTGGGTCAAATACTGAAGACCTTAGGCAAATCTCACATTGAAGTCAATGGGCCAAATGCCTGAAATCCTTATTTATTTTTAATTCAGTCCATTCTCAGACCCGTTGACTTCAGCAGGTATTTTGCCTAGATAAGGACAATAGGATCCAGATTTGTATGTAAGCAGTGTCAGGATGAGCTCCACCCTGACATCTGGTGGTGAGGTGTGGCAAGTTGTGGAAAAGAACTTCAGGGGCTGATCTCATTTGCATAGGCACACCCACCCCGCCTAGAATGAGGCCATAGCTGCCCAAATGGTCACTTTGGCTGCTGTGGGATCCCCAGTGTCTCTGTTATTGGGGCAGGAAGAATAAATTGTTATTACCCTGATAATGGGAACTGTGCTTGGAACTGTACTTGGCCTTTTGTTATGATGGAGGGACTCACAATCAACTAAGTAGCACTCGCTAGGCAAGGGTCATGGGTTCCAAAACTCTGTGAATTGAGAGAGGCTGGGGATAAGTATTAATATTTGGTGGTATGGGCCCCTGGGTGAGGGCCTTACATGCTAATTGCACTTCTTCCTCTCTCCACTGTGGAATATCAGAGCTAATTTTGATTCCATTAGGAGTCTAGTTACAGGCTGCTGAGCTCACTTTGGGCTAATGGTGCACCAGCACTGAGGCTCCCCTACTACAAGCTGAATTCACTAAAGAGCTGAACTGACTAAGAGCTGAAATCTCTGAGCGTTGTGTTAAGTAGTGGGGGAGCCTGAAGATATATTGTGGAGCAGTTTGTGAGGTGGCTGGAGTGCCTTGTGGACAGGCTGGTGGCACAGTTCATAGGATGGCGGGAGCTGCTTGTGGGACGCGGAGCGGAGCAGTTTGTGGACCGGATGGTGGAGCACTTTTGTGGGGCGGCTGGCAGAGTGGAGCGAAGGCCTATGGAGCTGTGGGGCGGTCAGCTTCAGATCATGTAAGGTGCCCCTTACCTCTCTCCCCCGCCACCCATCTCCACCCAGGTTGGGAGGTAAAGCTCTGCAGATAAACTTTCGAACTCTGGGGCTGCCCTGACCAGGGACAGAGACTTTTGGGACTTTGGGTGGTTTGGGGTTGCTGGACTCAAGAACCAAAGGGAAAGGACATGCCCCAATTTGCTTGGGGTGGGTTTTTTTGCTCATGGGTTGTGTTACCAATCCTGTTGGTGGTGTATCCCCAACATAATGCCACATTGTTTCTCTCTGTTATTAAAAGGCTTTTTGCTACACTCAGACTATGTGCTTGCGAGAGGGGAAGTATTGCCTCTTGGAGGCACCCAGCAGGGGTGGTATATATTTGTCCCAGGTCACTGGGTGGGGCCTCGAGCTGGTTTGCATTGTGTTATTGGAATGAATCCCCTAGATATTGAACCCGGCCCTTGTTGCTGCCAACTCTGATGGGCAGAAGGGTTACATGTATATACTTCTTCAGATCTTCAAAGCACTATACAAACACTGAAGCACTTACCCAGGCCAGATCCTGTTGTCCTTACTCAGATATATGTAGGGTTGGTGAGGGGCATGCTAGGCTGGAATATAATGAAAGAAAGGAATGGAAAATATTTGAAGCATACTGGTGTCAGTGCTAGGGAGTGGAAGAAGATGGTCTCAGTGGGAAGAATGGGATAAGGAGGTGCAGACAGTGGAAGAAGAGACTGGATGATAACTGGGGAAATACAACGTTCATAGTATATGGAAGCTGTTCAGTCTTTCAGGAGACTGACACACAACCATGGGTAGTGAACAGCTGCTAATTGGTTGCAGAAAAATCATAGGCCATATAGGACCAAATTCTGAGGTCATTATTTAAGCCCTGATTCTGCAACCCTAACTCACGTTACAGAGTAGCTCTAGCATTCTGTCAATGAGACTACTCGCTTGGGTGAGTGCTACTTTAATTTTTACTTGGTCCTTTCTCAAGCAAACGCCTATTGACTTCAGTGGGGAATTTCATCCAAGTAAGGACTGCTGAAGCTTAGTAAGGTCTTCAGTATCTGACCCATAAATTGTCTCAGGACTAGAACAATAATCAGGTTAAACCAGAAACAAATCCATGTCCTACAGCTCCCTTGGTGACACTGTTCAAAAAGTTTTCTGAAAGCCAGTGGAACCTTAGGTGTTGAAGTGGGTCTGGGATCAGCTGCTCCTGGAATTTGTACATAGTAACTGACCAGTGCCTCTCCTGGGATTTGGAATATAAGAACTACACCATTATTCCCCAGCTGCATAACTTGGAAGATGTGGGGAGGGATTGACTGTTTCCCTACACATTGTCTGTTCTTTCTTTCATAGGTTTGTTGAAGGATGTTGAGTTGAAAACAGCTCTCCGGACACTCTGCTGCATGTTTCTTGGTCTCTACTCCCATTACTGGCTCCTGGTCAATGTCTCAGGGTTCCAATCAGTGTGGTCTGCCCTCATCTGCATGTTGATCACACGATCTCTCCTTGCCCACCCCTACATCCATGTTAACATCTTCCAGGTAGAGGTCGCAAACTCCAGCTTGTACCAAATTCCTTGGAAGCAAAACAAAGCAAAGCTCCCTGTATTAATTAAATAGCTCTCACTTTGACTTTGGCAATTGAAGCATCTATAAACTTAAGACAAACAACCTGATTCTGATCCAGTGGCACTGATTTCATATCAGATTAGACTCAGGCCCAAAATGTTGAGGAGACTGATGTCAGTTAGCAGTGTGCAGAAAGTTGAGACAGAATGAACACAGAAGGCTGGATTATGATCTTAATTACAGTGGTGTAAAAATGGAACAAATCTACTGATTTCACTGGAATTTATCCAGTTTCTTACAGGTATAAATGAGATCAGAATTGGCCCCTTCTCACACTAAGAGAAGATGTTACTTTAAAATCCAGGTACATTTGGGAAAGATGGAATGAGCATAAAACCACAAAAGTGGGTGGTCCTTGCACATTGGGGATTCATTGATAGATCAGTCTTGACAGGCCTAGGGATGAAATGCATACAGATGGCCAGATTCTGTTCACATTTATGCAGATAACCCCTCTGAAGCCGCTGGGGTTTCCAAGCTACTGTGGTGTAATTGGACTCTGGCTTCTTTTCTATTTGCCATGAATGGGTGGCCCTGGGATAATGTGTGGGGAGCAGTGTGTGAATGCTTCCACACCGTGCTTGACCTGTAAGTAGTGAGTGGGAAACTAGAGCATTCCAGTTGATGGCACTAGCCTGTTACCTTTTATGAGGACTCATCATGCCCATAAAGAAGGCGACTCACAAGATCATGTACAGAAAAGGATGAGGAGTTTGAGAAACTGCCACTATTTTGCCCTGACCTGACACTGCTGGATTCCACCCTTGTCCTCAGGAAGCCCTGCTCCCCAACTGCCCGCTGTAGGAAGAGATGTTGTAGTCTTCGTGTTTTGTCTTGTAGCACATTGGCCTCCCGATGTTCTCCGCTGATAAGAAGCCCAAGCGGATTCACCTGATGAGCCTTGGAGTTCTGAATCTGCCCCGGAATGCCCTGCTGGACTGGTCCTTTGGGCACTCCATCATCAACTGCCATGTGGAGCATCACCTTTTCCCAAACCTCTCTGACAACATGTGCCTGAAGGTAAGAGATAAACGGAGGGCATGTCTAGAAGGTGTGTGGAAGGAGCAGGACAGGAGTGGGAGTGCCATGTAGCACAGAGAAGATTGATGAGCATGGGAAGAGGTAATGAGGAGATAAGTCTGTGTGTTTTACCCCTTCCAGTTAACTAAAATAGAGGTGCTAAGCCTCTTTCCCTATCCTGCATATCTGACCATGCTTCCGTGTTCCTCTCTTTGCACTGGCTTACCCTCTTCTTCCTCATTAATTTTAGACTCCTTCCCATTTTCAGAACACTCCATAACTCCAACTCTAACTAGATCTCTACCTCATTTCCTCCCACTCCACTTCTTCCTCCCCACATTCTACTCAGTCTTCTCTCCAGCCTTCTTCCGTTGTGTCCTTCCTCCATTCTTGACTTTGTTCTTTATTATTGTAACAGCCTTCCAGTGAGTGTTTAGCAAAGTCCCCCCTCTCCTTCTGGGAAAGCTTTTCAGGCCCCCACCTAATCTGTGAATAATTCCAGTTATCTTCATCATACACCTGCTATGGTTGACCTGTATTGTGTTTATTTGTCCACTTGCAGTGTATCAGATGTAGGCTCCAGCCAAAACCCTAGATCCAAACACCCTGAAATTTTGGGAAAGCTGAGATCTGGATCTATACTTTGCAGTCCAGGATAGGGTGGCCAGACAGCAAGTGTAAAAAATTGGGACAGGAGGTGGGGGTTAATAGGTGCCTATATACGAAAAAGCCCCCAAAATCGGGACTGTCCCTATAAAATCGGGACATCTGGTCACCCTAGTCCAGGCCCATCTCTACACTGTGTTTGACACCATTTACTAATTTTACAGTCCCATGTATACATCTGGTGTTAGTAACAATAAAGACATGGTGCTACTGTGATACCAGTTCAAGGCAGTGTCCTTGTCAGATCTCACAAGATAAGCAAGGTCAGGCTTGGGGAAACAATCGAACAAACCTTCAGGTGCTGCAAAAGGCAATGTTGGTAATTCAGTAGGTGGCACTCTTCCCTCTGTGCCAATATTGAACCAGTGCCCCAGGGCGGTATGAGGGAAGGATGTCGGAGATCCAAGCTTTCAGATGAGGTGCAAAATCAAAGTAGTGAGCATTTGTGGTCATCTGGCCCTTTTGACAAGAGAAGGGTATCAGCCTCAATATCCTGCCCTTATTCCAACTCATCTAAATTCCCTTTGCTGCTCGAGTTGGATACTTAATCATCTTCATTCCCTGAGTTAAGCCATTGTGTAGTTTTAGCTACTGTTAAGCAGTTTTCACATTCCACCCCAGAGTTGGCTACGTTTTGGCAGTAGGCGACATGATTCCTACATGCATAGTTTTCAAAGGACTTAATGATCTCTCTGGAGGAAAGACCTGTACAAATGTAAGTCATCATCATTAGAATTTACTGTGCTATTTTAATAATACCTTTCCCTCTTAGATCAAGCCCATAGTCTCCCAGTACCTGAAAAAGAAGAAGCTTCCATACAACGAGGACTCCTATATCTCCCGACTACAGCTGTTCCTACACCATTACGAGGAACTGATGGTCAATGCACCCCCGATATCTGAACTTGTGGGGATTCAGTGATAGGCTCTGGAACATGACAGCAAGAGATAGGGCTGTTTCCTGTGGGTCATTATAACATCGGACAAGATCAGGAAGTTTAAAACCAAAGACATTGCCCTTATAAAGCAATCAAAGAGGAAACAAGTTTGCCTCAAGTGTCTTGCTTTTGGACAGATGGAAATACACATAGAGACCAAGAAATGCCACTAGAATGATAAACTGTGACTGAATGGTGATGGGACAGAAGGGAATTCTGTAGCTCCAATACAGTAGGATCAAATGTGAGTTTACCTGAGGTATTAGTAGCTGGTATCTATTTTTCCACCATTCTCTTTTAACTCTTGGACAGATGTTGCTATTGATTCTTGTTTTCTTTACTGCTGTGTCTCTGGAACAGGACTGAGAGCACAACAAGAAAGTGAATTCACATCCTATCCAACTCCAGTGTGCCAAAAGGACAGGATGACTCGGGGACTGGCGGTGGGGCAGCCTTTATCTCTAGGTCAATGGTTCAAATCCAGGCAAAGCTTGTATTTTTGGAACAACTGAAAACTGGTTCCCATCTGATAGCTCTAGTGGCCTATGTGAATTGAGTTGACAGCTCCAGTTTCTCAGAGAAAGATGCCCATATTACAAAACCCTAGTCAGCAGACTCAGTTGAGAAGCTGAGGATGGAATGGGCCATAAAGACTGTACGGCTTTAAAGGTGGTCTCTCCAGATTAATGGAGGCACGTTGGTGGTGTGGTGTAAGAAAAACTTGCACTGCTGCAACCTATGCTCTACCTTTTTTGTGGATAAATAAATTCCTTCCAGGAGTGTGGATTTGACAAAGCTAGCCAGAGCAGTTTGGGGGTGAGTTGGTGAAAAGTTTTTGTGCTGCCCTGATCCCCAGTGCAACCGTGGTTTCACCCCAGTACAAAGAGCAGGATGGAGGATTTGCAGAAGTGTTAGAGAGAGGATTCTTTGGGGTGAACTTCCAACTTAACTGGCTTCTGACATGTAAAGTGTTTGTGTTGTGGGTGGTCATGGTGGAAATCACAAGGTTACCCCAGCTTCCTGCTGCAGACATGGAACCCAACTGTTTGTCCTGGCCACTATATGTAGTCACCAACATTGCAGAAAGTTTTGTAAGAGACAGTTATCCAAAGAAGGCAGGACTCTGGGAGCCTGCTGGTTTCTAGCTACTGGAGGGCTTTGTGCTCATTCAGGAATTTTGCCATATACCTAAGGTGAAATCCTGGCCTATTGCAAAACTCTCAGTGACTTCAGTCGGGGCAGTATTTCACCCCGGATATATAGCAATATACAAATGTTAAGGGTAAAAATGTTCAAAAATGCCTAAGTGATGTAGGATCAGAGTCCCAAAATGTTGCCGTAGGTACTTAATCATCCCGACACATCCTGCAAGATAGTTACCTGTTGTTACCCCAATTTAACAAACAGGGGAGCTAAGGCAGAGAGATTAAGTTATCTCGATAAGAGGAAGTTGGTGTCGGAGCCAGGCTGAGAATGCAGGAGAACCCCTGGTCTCAGTCCTGTACTTAATTCACTGCTTAGCTGCCCCTTTGTGCAGCCAGCTACCACACGATCTGGGAGAGGGCTTGGCTTGCAGCCACCTCATGTCATCAGGGGCAGCTGGGATGCCACAGCCCCCAAGAGCCAAGAGCTACTCGGATATTCGCTCTAGAATTGAGGGACCTGTGGCGATGGTGTTCTGAGCCAATGGACCAGTCCTGGGTGTGTAGAGGAGTCCAGGGTAACCTGTGATCTTCAAACGAAAAGTCTGTGGCAAGCTTTCATCCCTAGCTACTGGGTTACATGATCAGAGCACTTTGCGAGGAAAAGGGGAAGAAGCTTGAGAGAAGAGATTCTCTCCTTTACACTACACGGCACAGTTCCTTCACACTTGGGATGGGATAGGGCAGAGGGATAGCCCTAGGATCCACAAGCCCCTTAGGTTGGCTCTGCAATTTGGCACCTTTCGCCAGCACCAAATTGTGTGTGAAAGGACTAAAATACTGTGCGAGCCCAGGTCTAACTTCATTTTCCACTGTCCTCAGGGAGAGACACAGGAAGCCTCCCTTCCTTCTGCTGTAAAATCCTAGAGGATGAACATCAGAACCAGCCAGTAGTATTGTTGGAGGGTGGGAAGAGGGGGCAGTGACTACATTGTGCTAAGACTGCCTCTCAAAGCTTTCTGAAAAACGGCAAGAGGCAAATTCCTCTTCTGCCCCTTTTGGGTTCTGGGCCAAGAAGCTATTAATATTTATCCACTTTAACGGATTAATTTTCCATGTTAAGAAAAGGCAAGATAACTGCAGGTAAGGCAGCACTGCCTCCACCGTTCCTAACACTTTGTCTGCTGTGTGGCTAATGCAAAGAAAAATGCTCATTCAGCAAGAAGCAAATCCTAAAACCCAAACTGCCTCTTACAAACCATTCTAAATGGGCGATAAAGTTCTCTTATTTATCTTTGTCCTCAGTTCTAGAAAGCCATTACAAAGGCAAATTCTTTGGTCGCCTTCTGTGGGCCAAATCCTGCAGTCAGTCCTTTTTCAGGCAAAATTACCACTGGAGTCAAGGAAGAAGGATTGAAAGATCTGGCCCTGAGAATATAGTGGTGGGGGTGAAGCGTGTGTGTGTGGGAGGGGTAGGGAGTGGGTCTTGTGTTGGAATGTGCATCTAAGAAGGGCTATGCTAGAATATCTGTGGCATTTATCTTGCCACGGTTTACCAAGACCTCACATCTTGACAGGTGGAGGCCTTTCCTTTTCTTCACTGAGCGTGAATTTCACCTCAGCACAGGGTCAGGACCAGGCCTATCCACAGCCTAAGTCCCCTTGGCCCAGTGCACAGGAGTGAATTTCACCCTGAATGCAGTTCTGCACCGGTGTCACTCCATTGGTTTGTGTAGTTACTCCTGATTTACACCACCATAAGAGGAGAATTGGGCCCTGTGGTTGCACTTGTGAGATCATCCAAGGATGTGCAGTTGAGTCACAGAGTTAAGCTCTAACAGACCTTTTCCATCGATAATGTTTATGATTCCGTTATTAAATGCTTCATTAATCCTGATGGCCAATTTATGCTAAAATTTGCAATGTTAATGGAGCTCCCAGTTCCAGCGATAGCAGGAGAGAGGCTAATCCCACTACCAGATGCTACTATGGTTATTACAGCACAGTTTGGTAAGAAGTGGATTTGACAGAAACCTGGTGGGAAAAGAAATCCTGAGGACAGAAAATGCTATTTTTTCCTCCACTAATATGTACAAAAGCTGATATCCCATCAACCTATGGATACGCTAAGCACCAGTGGGAGCAATGGCTGTTTTCAGTAGTTCTCCATTACAAGGGCATCCTTACCTACAGAGCCACCTAGAGACTGAAAGTGGCAATTACTAGGGTCTAAGGAAGACAGTCTGTAGCGTAGGAACTCTATTGATTATTCACTGCCCAAAAACCTTAGTGCTGAGGTTAAGGTTGGGGTGTGAATTTTCCCTAGCACTGCATCAAAAAAGCTGTAAGAATCTGAAAGTGGTATGGCCAGCTCCGTGTAAATGGGCCGTAATTTGGGAATCCCTTGACCAAATGACCTCAACTTTGATCTAGAGATCAAAGATCTACATCAGCCTCTCTTGTGACCTACCAGTTTTCAAGATAATCTCCCTGTACACATGGGTTTTAGAGCAATTTGAATATTAAACTCAGCTCCTTATTGAGGGGGCTGTGCCTGAAGAACCACTGGGCCAACTGATCTCAGACTGGCACCACTCACTCTATCCCTGGCTCTGACAAGGCATAACAATTCTCAAAATAATCTGAGTATATATGTAGCTTTTAGAGCAATTTGAACTGTCAGCTCTTAAACCATACAGTGGTGGGGTGGCCTGTGCCTTGAAGGGCCGGAGGTCTGGACCTGGCCAGCCCCTGTACAATTAAAGAAGTATGGATTGGATGAATGGACTATAAGATGGATAGAAAACTGGCTAAATCTTTGGGCTCAATGGGTAGTGATCAGCGATTTTGTTCAACATCTTCATTAATTATCTAGATGATGGGATGGATTGCACCCTCAGCAAGTTCATGGATGATACTAAGCTGGGGGGAGAGGTAGATACACTGGAGGGTAGGGATAGGGTCCAGAGTGACCTTGGAGGATTGGGCCAAAAGAAATCTGATGAGGTTCAACAAGGACAAGTGCAGAGTCCGGCACTTCGGACAGAAGAATCCCATGCACTGATACAGGCTGGGGACCGACTGGCTAAGCAGCAGTTATGCAGAAAAGGATCTGGGAATTACAGTGGGCGAGAAGCTGGATATGAGTCAGCAGTGTGCCCTTGTTGCCAAGAAGGCTAACAGCATACGGGGATGCATTAGTAGGAGCATTGCCAGCAGATCGAGGGAAGTGATTATTCCCCTCTATTCAGCACTGGTGAGGCCACACCTGGAGTACTGCTTCCAGTTTTGGGGCCCCCATTACAGAAATGATGTGGACAAATTGGAGAGAGTCCAGTGGAGGGCAATGAAAATTGTTAGTGGGCTGGGGCACATGACTTATGAGGAGAGGCTGAGGGAACCGGGTTTATTTAGTCTGCAGAAGAGAAGAGTGAGGGGGGATTTGATAGCAGCTTTCAGCTACCTGAAGGGGGGTTCCAAAGAGGATGGAGCTCTGCTGTTCTCAGTGGTGGCAGATGACAGAACAGGGAGTAATTGTCTCAAGTTGCAGTGGGGAGGTCTTGGTTGGATATTAAGAAAAACTATTTCACCTAGCAGGTGGTGAAGCACTGGAATGGGTTTACATAAGGAGGTGGTGTAATCTCCATCCTTAGAGGTTTTTAAGGTCCGGCTGGACAAAGCCCTGGCTGGGATGATTTAGTTGGGGTCGGTCCTGCTTTGAGCAGGGGGTTGGACTAGATGAACTCCTGAGGTCTCTTCCAACCCTAATCTTCTATGATTCTATAAATTAGCCCTGCTTGCCACATCTGGGACGAGCTATGGCTGGGGTTTAATTAGTAGATCCAGCTAGGTAGGGAGGAGCTGATTCTCTTATAAGGAGCAACAGGAAGTTACAGCAGTGGGAATGTTCAGGAAGCTGTAGAGAGTGAAAAAAGTTCCTGTAGGGGAGTTGCTTGAGGTAGGAAGGTCTGAGAATAGCCAATTAAGGGAGGAAGGACCCTGGGACACCAGAGAGGTGTCCAGTTTAAGGCGGGGGAGAAAAAAATGTTTGTGTTTATTTTTAAACTTTAAATTAACAAACGAAACACTAAGGAGGGATGTTTTCATTGAATTTATGAAAGCTTCTGGGTCTGGGGGTGTTTATTTAGGAAGCCCCTTGGAGGGGGAAACTGAGGCAGACCCCATGCAGAGTGATCTCTGGCCATGAGGGAGCATTTGGCAAGCAGCCAGCCTGGTGACACATGCTGTGTTCTGTGGCCAAACTTCCAAAAGGAGCTGCTACAGAATGGAGGTAGAGAGGTCCAGATCTTCAGAAGTATTTAGGCGCCTAACTCCCATTGAAATCAGAACAACTAACTCTGGTGGGCCAGAGCAACTCATGTGCACCATACTCATTCCCAGAAAGCTGCCAAGTGATTTTCAAGGTAATGTAAGAAACCATGTGGATTGTAGGACTCTTGGAATAACCAGCTGTTAAACAGTAAGCTAGTTTCAATCTTAACTGTATGGCTGCTACGAGCCCCACTGTAACAACTTGGTGGTAGAAATCCATCTTCTGTTGCTTGATGATTTAGGGTTCTGTAAAGAGTGTGCCTTGTGAGGAAGGGAAGGGCCAGTGCTTCATACTGGCCAGCAATGTAATAGAAGTGGGGACCCCCTGAGGATGAAAGACAATTGGTGAAACCAAATTCTGCCAGTACCAAATCCTGGGGTGTTGGCTGTGAAGGACCAAGAGTTACTGCATAATGTGGCTGTAAATGTCCTGGTGAGAAAGAGGGTGTGTTCAGGCTGATGGGTGTGTAGGAAGCACAATGAAACTCCAGGCAGAAAAGTTACTAGCCCGGGAATAAAGTGTTAAAAGACAAATTGCCTGAGGGCACCATGGAGGCAAAGGAGAAGGTGCTAGGAGCCCCATCCTCACTGGTGCTTCTGCTCCAAGGTAGCCAGAATTTGCCCCCCGGCCCTTGTTGAGCATAGGAGGATGGTGCTAATGCTGGCAGCCCTGAGTGGGCAGGAACCGATTCTCTTTGTGCATTGGCAGGTATCTGGATGATGGTACTGGGGGTCAAGGCCGTCCCTGGGAGGGTGCGGGGCCCAGGACCAATCAGCCTGTATGGGTTCCCCCTAACATTTTTTATACAGGTGAAATCTGGTGTAGGGAGGGGACACCAGTGCTGGGGGGCAAGGGACGATGGAGAGTTACAGGGTGGCACCTGTGCTGGGGTGAGGGAGCCCCCTGTGCTGGCAGGTCCCAGAAAAGGGAGGGGTCCGGGGCAGAAGGACAGTGGATGGGGTCAGCCTGGCACTGGCATGTTTTGGCAGTGCTAGGACGCTGTTGGTGCAGCGGCGGGCGATGCTGGGAGCCGGTGGGGCGCAGCGGGGCGGGCTGTGGTCGCTGCTGCCAGAGACCGCCCGCGATGGCAAGGAAGAAGAATAAATACGAGGCATCCCTAAACCCACCTCCCTCAGGGCTGGCCTCGCACGACACACGCACACTGAAGCATGTGGCCCAGAGCGGTCACCCTGATTTGCCAAGGGATGGCTCTGCTGGGGGAGGGCATGGTCAGCTAGTGGGCATGCTCTGGTCAGTGATCATGCTCCTGTTATGGATGAATAGTTTTCTGCACAACTGCTCATGCAGTGCACCTCCTCCCATCTCCAAAATGCAGGTTGGACTTAGTTTGCTCCTTACTTGGCAACTAAACACCAGAGGACTTAAAGAAAAGACACTTAGGTGCCTAAGTCCCATTTTCAAAAGTGATGTAAGGGCTCAGGAGCCTAAGTCTTTTTGAAAGTCAATGAAATCCATGGAAATTAGATGCCTAAGGGCTTTTGAAAATCCCACAAGGCACTTACATGCATATTTAGGGGCCAAAATACCTTTAAACATCTGTCCCTAGTGAAAATGTTACCCCTCGTCTATTGCTCTGGTGCGAATGTAAAATTGATTTTTCCTCAAAGCATGCTCTCCTGTGCTCTGTCCTGGGAGCTTAAATTCATAACTCTGCTAGACACTAAAAATCATGGCTGAACAGAGACACTAGATTTATGTTTTATTACAACAATCTGTAACCTGCTAACCCACTCTTTTTGTCCTATGACTGCAGAAGTGTTAATAGGCCACTCTACCTTGAATGGTCCCTTACAATATGTGCTAAACAATCTGTTCTACCTTGCATTTTGCTGGGATGCTGGGCGTACCTTTTTCCCAGACCTGAAGAAGAGCTCTATGTAGCTCAGAAGACTTGTCTCTCTCACCAACAGAAGCTAGTCCAATAAATGATATTACCTCACCCACCTTGTCTTTCTAACGTCCTAGAACTGACATTGCTACAATGACACTTCACACAACTCCGGTCTCAGAATCCACAAAACTTTCCTGTTACTGGGAAAGGGGTGTGAGCAGCAGGTGTAGCTGGACAGGTGCTGAACACAGCTTACCTGCAAGCATAGCCAGGGAGTAACGCTGCTTAGTACTGTTTCAGAGACAGCAGTGACCGGGACAAAGGTGTACTGTCACAGACAGCAGCGAGGGCTTGAATGTAGATGTAGCTGAGTAGCAGTGGTGACTCTCAAAATCCCATCATTTTCTAAAATATTTTATGTGGGAGTTTTGTTTAAATGACAATAGGAGTTGTCTGTTTTGTGGTGAGGCAGATAATGTAAAGACACTGTTTAATGCAAAGGCATCCCACAGGGTAATAAAAGACAGAAACTTCCATATTCCGATGCCCCAGCCAGATAAATTGGCTGGCCTTGGTTTGTCTATCTCTGGATGGGAGGGAGTTCTTATCTATCAGACCTTTAAGGGACTATATTCTGAGCCTCAAGGCTTTTTTTATGTTAAAAGTAGCCTCACAAAGGACTGACTTGTCTTTCTGTAGATAAAGAGAACTCAAATATCACCAGCTGTCACCGGGAGGAGATTGGGGCAACTTTATGAGAGCTAGCTGGCTGAAGCTCAATCCAGATAAGACTGAGGTGATGCTGGTAGGCTTAGTGACATGGCAAGGCTGATTTCTCCCCCTTTGATTGATGATGTGTTCCCACCATTCATTAGCTGTGTTTGGAATCTGGGGGTGGCATTAGACCCCCAGCAGCTGATTGATAGTCATATAGTAGTGGTGACCAGGAGTGTTTTTTACCATCTGTAACTCAGCAGGAAATTGCTACCGTAGATCCAGGCCTGTCACCTCAAAGTAGGATTATTATAATATGCTCTGTGTAGGGTAACAATTTAGACCTATCTGAAAATATATATCGCTTAGATGGAAAAATCTACCCTTACTAAAGTCCTTACGAAAGATATCATCACAACTAACAAGTCATATTCCTTACTGAAGAAACAGACTTATGTTCTACACTGATGGCCTAAACCCTGTGATACCATCAGCATGCCAACTTTATAATAATAATCACTGGACTCTGCATTTCTATAGCATTGTTGAGCTAACAATCTCAAAGCCTTTTATAATATGAATGAATTGATCCCTGGGGGTCTGAGGTATATTGGTATCCCCATTGTACCCACTAGGAAACAGAGGAACACAGAGAAGTTAATAGATTGATTATGAGTTATGGAACACGCACCATTCTCATTGATGCTGGTAATGCACTGGGACATTGCCATTGATTTCAATGGGAGCAGGATCAGGTCTAAAGTCAGGTAAGAAGCATGCCTCCCAATGGTCTCAGGATTGGTGGGTCTGTCCCACTTTAACCCCGCCAGCCCCCCTGTCCCAGTTGAAGGAAAAATTTCCCGCATTGACAGCTGCCAGGGGAGGGGACACGAAAGGGCCCCTAAACCTGAAGACATTATGATCTGGCACAAGTATGAGCTTGCAGTGCCACTCAGAGTGGGGTGGACAGACCAGACCCCGGAGGTGCTGCATCTTGCTTTAGCCACTTCAAATGCTAGGAGGCTTTCCCAAGGTCAAACAGGAAGTCAGTGGCAGAGACAGAACCTCCGTCTCCTGATTCCAAGTCCCAGTAACAGTGCCCAGGCTGGGGATTTAGGGGCTGTGTGGGGACAATCAGGGTGGGGGAGGGTATGGTGAAAGCTTGCACTTGAATAAGCATGTGAGGGACCCCTCTGGCTCCCACTCCACCACCAAACAAACCAGCCCTCCCCACTGCCCCCGTCTCTATGATTCTTCCTAGACAGGGACAGGCACTCTCTACCCTGTGCTCCAGGCTAGGGGCGAAACTGGTTATATGAACTGGAGGATAAACCATAGAGACGGAATACACAGGCGTGGGAAAGGGCTCTTCCTCTCCAACAGGCGGTGTTCCGGGTAGGCGTAGTTATGCTAATTACACTAGTGACATGTTTCTGAGTGCGTGGGAGCGGAGCTATGCTAATCGAAGGGGCTCTCCGCCACTTGATTGGCTAAGGCGGACGCAGCGTGGAGTGGCTTTGCTGCCCGGCCGCAGGGGTGGCGGCAGAGGCAGTGTCTTGTCTCTAGTGGGTGGGGCGCTCCGAGCGCGGTCCCTCAGCATGGGTTCGAGCTGCGGCCGCGTCTGCTGGGAGTGGGCGTCTCGCCTCCGCCGCCTCACGGGTAAGGGGGCCGTTCGCTCGCTGCGCCGGGGCCGGGGCCTGGGCCGGTGAGCGGGGGCACAGAGCCTGGCCGTAGGGGACCGGTGGGGGGGCTACGGGAGCCTGGCCGTAGGGGACCGGGGGCGGTGGGGCCCGCACGGGAGCCTGGCCGTAGGGGACCGGTGGGGGGGGCCCGCACGGGAGCCTGGCCGTAGGGGACCGGTGGGGGCCACGGGAGTCTGGCCGTAGGGGACCGGGGGTGCATGGGAGCCTGGCTATAGAGCAGTGGCTTTCAATCCTTCCAAACTACAGTCCCTCTTTCAGGAGTCTGATTTGCCTTGGTTACTCCAAGTTTCACCCCACTTAAAAACAACTGGTTACAAAATCAGACATAAAAATACAAAAGTATCACCGCACTATTATTGCAAAATAGCTGACTCTCAGTTTTGCCATATATTTATAAATAAATCAATTGGAATATAAAGATTGTATTTACATTTGAGTTTATACTCTATAGAGCAGTGTAAACAAGTCAGTGTCTGTATGAAATTTTAGTTGTATGGACTTTACTAGTGCTTTTTTATGTTGCCTGGTGTAAAACTAGGCAAATATCTAGAGCAGTTGATGTAACCCTTGGAAGACCTTTGTGTACGCCAAGGGGTACGCGAAGCCATGTTTCAGAACCACTGCTATAGAGGGACTGGGGAACCTGGTTATAGAGGGACCCGGGGGGAGATGGGAGCCTGGGAGAGCATCATTGTGGTAGGAGCTGAGCTATGGAGTCAATGACTTGAGAATTTAGGGGTGCAGGGGAATGTGGGCTATGTAGCTGAGGGAATGCAAGAAGCAATGTGACAATGAGATCGAAATGAGGAAAGAAGGGGCAAAAGATCTACCTGACACTTTGATGTCCAGACCCATAGGAACATCAGCTGGTTGTGAAGCCCGGGAAGTAACTAAGGTGAAGCCTGTGTTCACAAAAGGAGCTTGAGCTGATTCCAAGGATGCCTGAGCTTTCGCTCAGGGAAGTGATAGTCCAAGGGAAGGACAGAATAGGCCTACCCTGAAATGGCCAAAACACAGATCCTGTCTCCCAAATAAAGTTGTGACCTTGAAGCTGTTCGCTCTCGGAAAGAGTTAATAAAGCGGAGTCCCCCCTTGAGGCCCCTTTGGGCCTGATTTTTTGGAAGAGCTGAATACCCACAACAACTATTGATTTCAGCTGGAGTTGTGGGTGCTTTGCACGTCCATAGTCAGGCCCCATGTGTCTCAAGTTGAGTATCCACAATCCCTCCTGGAAACGTGGTCCTCGGTGATGTAGGAGTGGTTAGCAAGACTGCTCATGACATTAAATTGTTTTAGCTGATTAAAAACAAAGCAACCAAAACCACTGCAGACTTGTGAGGTGGATTTGGACACAATGGGGGGAGAGTGAGCAATGTAAGGGGAGATAAAGTTCAACTGGATACATATACAGCAATGCATATTAGTAAAACTTACCTCAAACTTCTCCTCTGCTGCTGGGCTCTGAACTTGCAAGACTTTTTCCAGAAGAAGATTTGGAAGTAAGGGGAGAGAGAGCTCAGTGCAGATATCTGTCCTGTGTTCAGTATCTGTCTAATTTAAACAATAATACTAAGATGCTCAGTGTTTTGTTGAAGGGAGGAGACATATTAAAAAAATATTGTCTGAAACAATACATCCTGTGTGGTCCAGTTTATTACCTCCGTTTATGAAAAAGAGAGCAGAGATGGCAAAGATCCAGAGAGGGGTAATGGAGAGAGGTTTTGAGGGACTTTTATGTAATGAAAAATAGAAATAATAGAAGTTAGAGTAGATTTAGCTATGACTTTCAAAGCTACGATCAACTCTTCCTTTGATTCCTGTCCTGTAACTTGAGTGCAAAGGTTCACATTCTTTAAAGTAACCCTGTCCAATAAAAAATAGTGTTGTAAATAAACCACCAATTTCCTGATGTTAGTAACATCTCGGGTGAGTAGAAGTAAAAGTACTCTGTAGTGATGCCTGTTTGGAAGACACTGCCATATCAGTTAGCATTTTGAGAGCGAGAGCCCCCTTCCTTGTTAAATACATGTACATTTGGACGTAGGACTGTGTGCTTTGGTGGGTTGTTTGTTAGTAGGATACAGAGACCCATTGGTGGTTTAAGCTCAGGTCAGTAGTGACGAAATTGTTGCCATCTGACTACTGCTGAAAGGCCTTGGCAGAATGAGCTGGTTCAGTCCAGTACTCGATGAACAAATCGCCATGATGGTGGTTTTTGAGATATGGACGATAGTAACTTGGGACCCTGGTCTGCAGTTTCAGCAGAGAAGCTGAAGTCTGAATGGACCATGGAAACTGAACTACTTTCTGTCCTCCTAGGTCAGGGTGAATCAACTTGTCGGGGTGGAATGGGGAGGACACTTGCATTGCCATTGCATGTGCCGTAGCTGTTTTGTAGAGAGAGGATTTCAGTCTCCAAGGACGTCTGGCTGCCGCCATTCACCAGGCGTAGATTCATGAAAAATTAGCTACCCCTGCAAGCATATACCCTCCTCCTTTCAGAGGAGAAAATTCTGTTCCTATCTTGCACTTCTGTTTTGCCATTTCTCTGAAGTCATCAAAGTGCTTTAATTAAAATATTAATTAAGGAAGTCCCAGTTTCCTTGTGAGGTAGGCAGGAATTTCTCTACTTGATTTACAGGTAGGCGAACAGTGGCATCAAGAGGCAAAGTCCCAAAGCAAGCCAGTGTC